ATTTTTTGCCCTCGTTTTGCCGTGTGTTGGGGGGGGGGGGGGTTGGGCATCAAATATTTACCAAGCCGTGGGTCTGAAATTTTACCGGATGTTTAAGGTAGCGATGTGCTCGGATGTAACGCTGCACTGCTTCCTCTTCATGTTAGACATGTCACATTTTAACTTCCCTGCCGTGAACGTTCTCCACGGTCGTTTGTTTCCCATCTAGCGTGGCCCAGGCAAAATGTCACCTATCAGGCTATATATAATATGATTGAACCCTTTGATGCCTCTGTACAGGCTTCTGCGAGTTTACCCACCGATCTTATTTCTTTTGAGCTCACACGCATTAGCATATTCGGCTCCGCACAATTTGTTTATGTACAAGCGTCCAACAGTTCAACTGTTAGCAGGCAACCGTACTAGTGATTCCAGTCTTGCACTCTGTGAAAATCCCTGATATTCGTAATTGCACCGATTTCGACAATTCACAATGGAAACTGAATCCATTCTATCGTATTCCTGTTTTCAATTGGGCTCTTCTGACTTCGTTTCAGTTACAGTCGAGTTCGATTACCGGTGGTCTCACTGGGCTCAGCAACACCACCGCTGAACAGTTTGCTCAAAATGTCAGAGCTCAACAACAAGTTCTAGATTTGGTTAGAAGCATGCCTTACGGGCAGTCTTCATTGTTTCGGTATCTCAACATGCCTGGAACATCTGAAACAGGGACAGAGGATGTGACGAAACAGTGTGCAGGCACGGAGTCAAATTCTGGTGCTGTCGTTCCGGCCCGAGCTGCGGCGAGCGCTCTGGCCCAACAGCATAAGGCCGCTGGTCTGACACTTGGAACTGGATCTCCAAGTTCACTTGTTGCCGGTATTGTCGGTCGTGGTACACGACTGCGCCAGCCTAGCTTCACACAACGTATTCTGAAAGTTTCAAATCGTAGCAAAGTAAGTTTTTCCAGAGTCACGGTATGTTGTCTTGTCTTCGTCATCCGTGTGGTTATCACAGCTTTTTGGAGCCCCACTGCTTTGGTGACTTACAACCACAATTATACGCATGGAGTAGAATTGTACGAATATAATATAATAATTATATAATATAATATAAAAGTGAGTCTGCTGCACAACTGAGCATCCATTTTCCAAACACCTCGCAGTGAATTAATCTAGAAGCTAAAAGACATATGTTGGCCTCGTGCGCATGCGGGCGTTTTGCCTGCTTTCAACTTGTAATGCCGTAATCAAGCCACCTACTGTCCTGCTAGGTATACATAGCTTAGCCTTCCGTGACCCCACCGCAAGTTCAAAATCCGGACATTTTGCAAGCTTTTCCGATCGTCCAGTCTGCAATTAACATTTTTGCGCGAATGTGCACGCATACGTACCTGCTTTTGGCGCACGCACAATCACGAGACCCATTAGCCGCACAATGCCGTTTTTTGCAAAACCTTTTGGAGTGAAATAAAACTGTTTACGTTAAAGTGTTACATCATTTTGCGTATGTGCTCACACCGAAAATTATCCTTATATAATTCCATGTTTTTGCAGCTCACCGAATTTTATTATCCACTGAAGCAATCATACCCCTAGCGGAAAGTCTGGTGGGATACTTTCCTAGCATCGTTGAGATCCCGGGATGCCTAGATGGGACTCGAAAATTTGTATTCGTACTGTGAACTCTGCCTAGATGGGACTCGAAAATTTGTATTCATACTGTGAACTGAATTACCTGTCTCTTTTGGTCCATCAGGGACATGTATCTTTCAGTTCCGTTGTGCGAATACTGAGCGCCCGCAATCACATGGGATGCAATAGACATGGCTGTCTGGCGCTACAACGCGCTGATGCGGTTGCGTCAGGCGATTAAGAGTGTACGGTCCACCGATCGTCACATGAATGTGGTAAAGCGGACTGGTTGAACCGGAACACACGGAATGCTGATTTAGCGGTGAGCGCGCATGCACGCGCGACGAACCCCGTAGCAGCAGAAATCAATGAACCACTGTTCATGGCTAAAAAGCTAGCTGATTGACCGAAGGAAAATTGTTAGTCTATTGTCCGAGTATTTAGCCTCACGCGAAGGTGAGGTCGACAAATGGCTAAACATAAATAGGCCGATCTTTACCATTCTAGTGCATTGCGATCTCAAATTATTCGAAGAACTTCCCTATCTGTATCCTGTATGAGCCCAAACTAGGTTACATGAATGGATACGGTAAGCGGACGAGCCTTATCGTAGCCAATTTGAACTCAGCCTAACGTTGACTTATCGTGATTTGGTGCGCGGCGGCCTGCAGCGAAATGAACATTGCTCAACAACCATCTATGGTCGTGACTTCAGTGGGCGCCCATTTATATCCTTCCAGGTTAACTTGGGGATGAAGAACAAACGCGCAGATAATGCGATCACTAACATCCCTGACAGTTTTCATTAAGCTTCCTGCTTATTCCTCCTATCACGTGAAAACAGGTCCGGGCGTCGTGACCGATCTTAGCAAGTCCCACCGGCGCCTCATTTTTCCAATATACCTGGTGTCAATCGCCACCAGCAGCAGCGAACAAAGGTGCTTTCACCCTAAAAGTGCCAGTTTCTGCCGTAAGATAAAATGTGAGTGGCTACAGTCAATCAATCGGTACTTCATGTTTTTCTTCTGCGTCATGTTCTTGGACTGATAGGGTCTACAACAGCCTGCACGAAAGCCGAAGACAAATTCTTCACCTTTCCTTCATTTCCTTCATGGCGTTAACCAACTTGCGGCTGCAAGCAAAAATATTGGATATATCCATCAGAGGCCAGCGCACGTAGCTCCTCCGAACAAGAGCTTCCGTTGTGTTTGTTCCCCGGTTATGCGGATTCGATTATAGGGCTTTACTGAAATAAATTGCCATGTTTGTGCGGCAATGAAGCACCGGTGTTCTGATCTGGTGTTGCTCTCATTGATTATGCTGATGACTGTGCTAGTTAGAAATATCACCGTTGCAGCGCTTATTCGCTAGCGGTAAGGTGAACGTAGCGTGGAATTTCACCTGACATTTAGAAATTCCTAATTCATTTCATTCTTTGCCCGCGCTACACTTGGCTTTTTCTCCGAGGGTGCTGTTCGTAGATCAGGATATCCAGCTCGATCCATTCAACTCACCACAATCTATCTCAAACTCCTCAAGGTTTAAAACGTGTTCAATTCAACACACTTTGTTCGACTCATTTAGGATAAGCAATTCCTCTGAGTCAACAGTTTCATCCTATTTGGGTGCATCTATGTCAACAGTGATCTATTCAGTTTCAGGTTTAAAACGTGTTCAATTCAACACACTTTATTCGACTCATTTAGTATAGACAATTCCTCTGAGTCAACGGTTTCATCTTATTTGGGTGCATCGATGTCAACAGTGATCTACTCAGTTTCATCCGCTCAGTCCTTGGCCTTTGTAATCCGATTGTCGTTAATGTCTAGCGCTCGTTCCAGTCGCTACATCATGAGCCACTTTCTCTTTGTGCATCCTATCCAACTGACGTTGGCAAATTCACTTTATCCAACCTTCCTCCACGTCTAATATTAGTGCGATGTTGATGCCCCCTCCTAGACCCTTCCCCATTATGGATAATGAAAGTGATTTTGGATCTGTTTGAAACCTCTTGCAGCATAGTTTGTGTGCGTAACTTTCACAAATCACCCATTCAGTTCCTACCTTCCATAGATAGCGTAACACAAACTAGTTTCGTGTGGTTGGGATCACGGTCTAACGATTTCTGTTGCAGTTTGACTCATAATTACACTTCTGCTCAAACCCATTATGGGTAATGTGTGTGTGACCGAAATCGGGACAGGTTCTGGTCTCCTTATAAAGAGCACAATCGATGTTCGTTGTAACGTGCATTCTACGTTTGTTGGTTTCACTGGACACCAATTTTACCCTGACTAATTTGTACCGGGATGCTGTTCAAGTTATTCAATAGGCTGAATGTGGTTTTCTATGTAAGAAACATCGATTCCCATATCGCTGTCGCCAGTGCAGTTGAGGGATCATTGAGCCTTACTCCCAACACCATATTTTGACTTCTCATAAAGAATTATTCTCTGCCCAGGCCACAGTTCGAAATAGTGTCGTCTTAACGGTGCTGGGTGTGCCTGTATTTTGATGCAGAGTAGATAATTTACATTTGCTGCGTCATTATTACATCTAAGTGTGTCGTTGGAGTGACCCTATTCAATAAATAAATAAATTCATTTACCCATGCAGTGTTATCCTCCTCCTCCTCCGTTTTTAAACACCACTTTCTATCTTGCGTTTCCAACAGCTGTTCTCTGGCTTTTATGAAGATGATGCTTTCCTGTCCCCGTCTGGACAAAATGTCTCACCAGCCTTACGGTTGCGTCGTTCATCGACGCTTAGCGACGGTACTTCACTTTTCGGCAGTCCAGACCCCAATAACAAAGGTAGTTTCTTTGTTCGACGAGACGATTGGAGGCGTCTCCACTTGCCAGAAAGTGTGCGAACATCTATCCTTGAGCGATCAGCAGTTTCATCACAGGCGTTCACCGACATAGCCGAGAACTCGTTGAACGGAGACCATACCTCCGAGGCCCCGGCTACTGAGATGTCGGAGTCAGCTGAACATAGATTTGGTGCACGTGCTGCCGGTGACACTACCCCCAACATTAACGCCAATCGCTCAACTTCCGTCCCCCATACGACTGTGAGTTTTCTGGCTCGTTTGTCACGGCTTTGAAATTCATTATGAGTGGTTGCGATCGCTCGGTGTTTTTCCCAGCACTAAAATTTGTCACATTCAACAGGAGAAGATTAGAAGGTTGTTATTCTTTTTATCGGTATCCCACGGTGCAGCAAGTCGCATGTACATGCTGCCGACCAACTAAAATCTCCCTTGTTTATTCCTTTGGTTGGAGTCACCCTAGCATGAGGAGACCTAGAATTTTTCCGATCGAGATCCAATCCTGCCATTAAATTCACTCTACGCCGAAAGGTCGAGAAGCACTGTACAGCCGTTTTATCTTTATTCGGAATCATCAGCAATGAGCATCTCGTCAATATGTGGGTTGATTCGAACTCAATCGCCTGGCTAGCAGTTGAAGGATAAACGGTTCGGTCGCTAGTGGCTAATCAGCAGTGTGACTAAGTTGCAATTAGGGTGTAGTACTACTCATCCCTTAGTCATGGAGTCCAAATCAGGTGGTCACGTTTTCACCGACTTCTCACTGGCCATGTGAATTATTCCTTCTCTGTTCTTTTTAAATAGTATATGACTTAAATGCAGATGAATTCACTTTCAGGATAAAATTTTGGTCAAAAAACTCCCAAATAAATCGTCTCGTAACCCGATAGTTTGGTCTTCCTCTACTAGTCAGGCGGTTGCGAGTTCCATTGCCCCTGGAGTTTCGTGGGTTGCATACCTGACAGAACGGCTGTATTGTGGTTCTCGGGTTTTCCGCATGGACTGACTTCACTTGCAAGATGAAATATCGATGGAGTTCCTTTTCCCGCCAAGCAGGAAAATCCATAGACATTTGATTTAGTTTGTGTACATTAGCACAGTGAAATATTGGTGAAAGGTAAGCGAGCAATTCAAGAATTGCAGTAAAATCCTTACGCAGATGGTTTGCGTTTGAGAACGATTAATGTTAGTTGCTTTTGGAAGCACACGGCAGCACGTGTATAGCGACCGCTCTGGGTAGGTCATTTCTCATGAGATGTTACCGAAAGTCCGGGTCATTTTTACTGTTATGAGTAATTTCGGTGTTTTCAACCCAAATCTCACTTGCTTTGTCGGAACCATTAAAAGTTAAACCTACGTGGGTGTTCACCAGAAAACTTCCACTTTGAAAGCACTAAGAACTTATTTTTTTTATAGAAGCACGAAGATCAGGGTCAGTTGTCTTTCAGCTCCTTCGTATTCCTGAATATCAGTTTTTCTTCCCTGATTTGCTGTGCTATGCATATTTTGTTAGGACTGTACGGTAGTAAGTGATGCAACTACTCGATTCTTCGCTTCTCACTCACATCCACTGTCTAATTCAACAAACTCCACTATCTTGACTTGACGTCAAAGGATGGTATGCAAAGCGGAGCCGTAGTCTTCGGTTTACATCCAGTGGCAAATCCATCATTCCTGAAGATATATAAACAAATGGATGACTAAAAACCGGAGTAATGCAGCTCTAGTACGTGGACTAACTTATCCAAAAACGTGGGGGCTTTTATTGATTTCTGTGACTATTCACGATTGTCATGAGCATTAGAAAAGTCGCTAACTGGTCGGCTCTGGCGCTAATTTCCATCGGTAAACCATGGAACATAGGGCTACCCAATGGAACGAAGTTCTTTCCAGCTAATCTTCATAAGTAACAGCAATATACGGATGTTTATTACTTGTGCTCAACTACCGTACAATCAGCGAGAAGCGGTTTTCTAACTAGCAAAGAATTGGGTTTGAATGAGTGGAGACTTGCTCCACAAAAATCCGAAGCCCCTGAAAAAACTGTTGGGAGCTTGTAGGTTACTTAAGTCCTTTCATTTAAGAATCTTCCATGCAGTATCTCCACTACTATCCCGTCTTCCATATTGTTAGACCCCGCTCACCCCTTCAACTGATTCGGGACGTTCGGAATCGCATACTGCTGGCGTGGCTAAACTCTCAGTACCCTTCCAAAGGGGATTAGGTATGGCTCGAGCTCGTGAGGCTCTTCAAACAGCGGTTGCCGAGGACTCTGTTGTTCTAGATGATCTAGAAACAACCTGGACATCTCCCGTAGACATGACAAACTCAGAACAGTGGACACTGAATGCGACGGCGAAAAGTCCAGTGGCAAGTCCAAAACCGAAATGCGGTGAATCAGAACCCCGTGCACCTTCAAGTACAGTTAAGAACTCAAAGGCTGTTTTGAAGCTAACGAAGCCCGGATACTACACCTTACCCACTTTAGAGGAACTGGAGGCATTGGTTGACTCCGAAGGACAATGTGTTGTCGAGGATTTCGTTGTCGGACGACGCGTGAGTTCTTATCACAAGTGTTTGCGTTTCGTCTATTTTTTTCTTGTTTGCTGAATTTTTATACCGTCTTCTCCTAGGATATCCCATAATAAGGATGCTGGTAGTTCTTTCGTTCACCAAGGGAGTTCATGACCCGGTATTTCATGACCTCAACGACTATATGATTGACAACTGGGAGAAAGCGGTTTTACTTGGTTCCTATGCTGTAAAACATTTATCGGAATCCGCTTGGCTTCAGAGTAGTATACCACGTGTTAAGAGCACTTTGGAATGTTCAGTGTCAATATAAATGTTTTGTAGATTGGTACGCAAAGTGCGCACAAATGTATGCAACAAGGTACATTTAATTAATTAATCACATTAATTACAACTGAAAACAATACAGTGCAATACAACATCACATATATAGAACAGATCTGAGGTAGCCGTGGAAAATGTCTTGCCTGGCAGCCAAAACAGAGCCTCTCTTTGGCGAATCATTTACAGTCCCCTTGAGTAAGGGAGTGGTGTACACAACTCACAGCGGATACAGAGGGATGTCTGATGGCTCGCACCGCACATAGTGCGCACCCTGGGCACACGCAAATGACCAGCTAGTGCTAGACATTATTCGGCTTGGTCACAGAAAGTCACTTCTTGTATCGTCGTAGGCTTCAAGCTCCGGATTTGCTGACACACATGGGAATCGTTTAGCAGTTGAACCGATGTTTCCGGTTCGGATAGGCCGAACCCAGGAGGGATCCACGAGATGCTCTGTAGTTAGCCGAGATTCGACTTGGTTCCGATCACACGATGATGATCACTGAAAGTCACTTCTAGCACCATCACGGGCTTAGCACAACGAATTGGTCAGTGTGCTAAATTTTTGCACGTTCTGATCTGTAAAGCGTACGTCACGGGAAGTCACCTCTAGCACCATCGCAGGCTCAGCTATCTGCTAACCTTAGAAGACTGAGGCTGATTTGGTAAACCTACTGTAACTGTGGTCCTTTTGCGGGCAAATTCCCGTATGTATGCTTGTAATCAACCAATCCAATGCGACCAACGCAAACAGTCGCTGCATGTCCAACTTGGTCAGTTTCCAGGTCCAACAGCTCCTGTGATACTCTTGCGTCTCGTACGCTTCATTTCTGTGGCTGAAAACTGACGACAGGTGAATTGAAGAACTCCAGTTCGTATCGTTCACCTCTGTACCGTCCTGTTTTGTGCTCACGCTTTCAACTTCATTAGATCCAACACCACCGACTGCGCGAGTGTCTATCGGCATAGTTCGACGTGTGACAGCCCAATCAGAACACGGATGCCGTTCCACCATAGTTAATAATAGTGGTTCATCCGTGACACCCTTTCGGTATCTGCCTCTCATGCCACCTGAAGAAAGCACGAGTGCTGAGATACTGCCCGGTTGCCCAAGCCTGGATAAGAGCGGTCGGAATGCATAGGTTGAGTTCGAACCACTGACCTTCTGGTCAGAAAGTTCACACCTTAACCAGCGAGCTGTATTGGCTCCGTCCACCATGTATAACAGGAACCGATAGTCTGATCACAAGGGTTGAAGAATACCTTACTAGCCACAACGCTATATGATCGCCGATTTCAATCTTGGATATGTTAGATATGAATGAAATCAGTGGTCTTGTTTAACGCGCCTCGCGAATCACGCAGCTGAAGTCATTCTCGACTGTTAATTCCCCACAATGGATCTGACAAATATTCTGCCTCCTTTTCTTCAGATCAGAGACTTGGTGCGAGTTATTCTTATACCACGACCACAGTGATTCGTGACCTGAAAACTCAGTGTCTCTCTTGTACCGAAATGTGACACACAGGTTTTCCCTTATTCATTTACCACCATGCACCGATTTTCATATTGAAAAGCTAATAAATACAGTAAAACACTGTGTAATGATGCCTCGGCTCATCCATTTCATTTTGTGATTTAGCACTATGGACATATTTTGTTCCCCGGCAATACGGAGCTAACCGACTTGGACCTGGATAGCATCGTCCACATTCGTAGACGCGAGGTTGTCGTCTATCCAGATGACGAGAAGAAACCACCGGTCGGATGCGGTTTGAACAAACGAGCCGAAATATGCCTAGAATCGATATGGCCCACGGACAAAGCTACACGAGAGCCAATCAAGTCACCGGAACGATTGGGTTTGATGCGTTTTGAGGAACGACTGGAAAGAGCAACACGACGCATGGATGCAAGGTAACTGCTTCTGTATGGTCACCTGCTGTTACGTTATATATATAATGCTTTTATGGTTGTTAGGCTTCAAACGAATTCGCAACTGATCTTTCGTTGAACGAACAGCAGCTTTTTTTCGAAAAGGACCGTGCTGGGTCATGGATTGGCTATTGTCGCAAACCGATCTCCCACATTCTTGTCCAAGGCATTTGGCAACCACCTGTTCAAAATCAAATCGATGAGCTTTAACAGTTTCTTAGGGTAATATAACCTCTGCGTTCGTGGTTGTAATTTTTTGATCACTGAACACAGCATTTACCTCTCGTTCTGAACGGCGGATTACTTGTGACGGCAGCCGGAACCCTTAGATATAAACTAGCGGTTAGTAAATTGACCCTCTGTAATGGCATGTTACGTCTTAATCATCCGACCATTTGCCGACGTCGCTGTAACCTGGCCTTTGAATTTTTTATCTGAGTTGGGCGGTTCTGTTGCGGACGTCCCATCATCAGCCGAGGTGACGGCTTCAGTGCGTTGTGGTCGGAGATTCGGTTATATAATATCTACTCACCCAATCCAATTTTGACGTATAGCTGCTGCTTTGGGTGAGAATTCCTACTGGCTGATTGATTGACCTATCTTCTGACTTGCAGAAACCTGGATAACGCCCTCAATTTCTTACTGTGGACTTTTCACTCGTGGTGTTGTATGTACCAGAGCAATTTCCATGTTGATTGGTTGATTTCGTTGCAGGATGCCGTGTTACTCATCGCAGTTTCGTGAGCGGTCGTACAACCTGATTTGCCGGTGATATTCTCAACGGCAACCCCAGGCGCTTCAGAGTGTAAACTCCTATAAGAAAATATAGCATTCCTCGGGAATACATTCTACAGTCCACTAGTGGAGTGTGGTGACATTTTTTCAGTCAAACGCTGTCATTATGCTTCCCAGAGAGGTTGTATTCAGACAGACATGATTTAGTTTCAGTCTGTGAGGTTTCATGTCCGAAGAAAATGACTTAATAAGTTTCTGTCCTTCCGTAGTTGTACTTCCCGAGGTGTCTACGTATAATAATGCGATCTTTTGATGTAGGAGCTGAATGAATCGGAGTTGTTGGCTACAGTCGTTAGCTTCCTGTTACCAGTTGGAAGGTGTGGAGTGTGCAATTCGTTAGCCATTGATGTGTACACGTTAGCCGAACTAGCGAGATGTTTTCGAGAGCTTGAAGTTTACAAATTGCAACATTAGGTCACGTAAAAATTTGACGGATGCCGTTGGTTCGGAATTTAATCCTGGCCTTCTGAAACTCACACCATAGAGTTATTGAATCCTCCGTTTTCGCATTTTGTCCCTTATGAAGGTTCATAGAATATCGACCGGAATCCGGCTCTTGGGTATTTGAAGTGAAACACTTCTCAAAATATCGGTTAGAGGACTCTGACAACGAGGATGTGGATGTGTTTGTTCCAAAGACAACAACAACGACCGAATCGCCTCAAGTGGATTCGAAACTACCTCAATCGAAGGATGAATACATCAAGACTGCTGTGGTATGTGACCTCATTTACGGTCATACTTGTTTAGTTACATTAGAGTTAATCGTACATAAACTATGCAATGGTGGCGCTTTTTAGTGTACTATTCTCTCAGTGTGGTTGCATTTAGCTCACCTTCTGTTCGACTGTTTTATTTTATCTCGTTCGCCTTTCTTCTCTCTCATGCCGTTATTCCTGATACAGCTTCAGACCCGAACAACAACAACAACTCCCCAACTGAAGGCAGTCGGTGCACTAATCACAGAAGCGGACTCAGATATGCGTTTTAGCCCAACTCATTTCGGTTCATTCACATTCAAAGATAGCACAGGGTTGGGGTTGAAGACCATGGAACTTACGAACCTGACACCGGACACTACTACCATCCAAGAAGATGATGCACGTTCAGTTTCAGCTTCCGTGAAACAAATGCGCGATGTCTTTTTTAGTCCGGTATTCATCCCCAAGGTCAAACCAGGTCGTGCAAGTTCCGTGCTCTATCGCCATGGTACTGGTGAACTTTCGGACGAAGCAGACGAATTCGAAGCCGCAGAATACTCGGCGGTTTGGCCCATCGCCGGAACCAAACGCTTCCAGGCCTCCCAGTCACCAGAACTTCCTCTTTCTCAGACTGGTGATATGGCTTGGGTCGGACAAGCAGGTGGTACGTGGTGCTTTAACCGAATTTGCCAATAACTTGGTTGTATCGAATAAGGATTCACATCCTGTCCCTGCACTAGATCATTTCATGGTTGCTTTGTAACACCCATGATACTCTTAGTCATCCTGGTTTTCACCAGACTGAGTCTAGATTTCAGGCTTCGCGGTAAATTAGACGAAATAATATGCAGCGAACAAGCCCAGTTTCGACTTGTTTAACCTGCCGGCATCTCAACCCTCATGATTCTTTCGGGTGGCATCGCAACTAGGCACCAAAAGGGTGTTACAGCTGATCGACTACTACACGGATCCAGTTTCGGCCATATGCTTGCCACTTTCACATCATGCTGGGCGTTAAGGTAAGAAAATACAAAACAGAGAAAGTTGTCTAAGCTAATAGATGATTGGACTCCAGGATAACGGAATTTTTCGTATACTTGGCAGCTCTTCCGTTCAACTACATAGGATAATGCTCTTTTACATGCTCCATCATCGACAGTGTAACATCAGTGTTCGACACTGATCCTTCGGTGCCGCACAACCATGATTTATTTGAAAGGCTTACTGCCAACAAAGGAATAAAATTGGGTGGTGGTGATGAGACTTAATACTGGCCCACCACAATCATTCCGAACTGCCTACACCTCCAGACACTCGTTCAGGCAATAATCGTAGAAACTAATAGCATGGACTCCAATGGCATCGATGAGCAGTCATATCTTGCAGCGTCTCTAACCAGACATAATTAGATTCGCGTGGTTCCTATCCTGGAAGGTGAGTCGCACCTGCAGCACCAGGAAGTTTCCCAATCTCTTTCGTGCTCCTTTGCCAATCCGAAGGTAGGCCACCTCTTTGCTCCCACCATTGGGCACGGAAAACAGCAATCTCTTCCGCAAACAGTTCGACGTGCGCAACACTTGCCCTATCCAACACGGCCTCTAGTGCTCATTGGGAGTTCCCGTTACACAACCGAGCATTCGCTTTCTCGTTACGGATCCGCCAAAACCAGCCTACATGAACTATGGTTCTGAGACAACGATTGTCTCAGTTCTGCCGCTCGAACAGACCGAACCTTACAGCCGTATAACAAAACAGCCCGTACTGTAGCCTGATACCTATGTCCCTTGAAATTCAGGGATATCCCGCTTTGATCTAAGCCTTGCAGATTCGTTCACTGACCTCATCTGTCACGCTACAATCAGAACTCATACAACTTCCAAAGTACGTAAAACGCTGCATATCTTCAAGTGTCTCCCGCTGGATTGTAAGTGGCGTGTTCAGTGACTGCATGTCGAGAAGCATGACCCTACACTTTTTGGGTGCAAAGTGGACACCAAAGGACAGGATGCCTTGGAAATCCAGAAATACGGAAACTTGTTTGTCATTTATGCGTATGGTGTTGTTCTCGTACGTGACGGAGTGCGTGGATTTGATCGATGCGACCCCTACCAGGCCGAAGTCTAGGTTGCCGCTCTCGAGTCATTGCTTCACGGGCTTCCCCACCATAAGGCGACGAAGGACGAGTGGTGCTGCGACTGCAGTTAAGCTCATCTCATTGTGATTACCGCACTCACCACGGACTTCTTTTTGAACATAGGCTCTATCGCCGGTTCTTCCGAGTTTGTCTAGGACAGCCTACTTTTCCCAAATCCTGGCTAACAAATCAGACAAACGGTGAACAATTCGGGTGGATGTCGTCCGGATCAGGGGCTCAGTGGCGGTTGAGAGAACATACACAGTCGTAAACCTCCTATGCCGTAGGGTATTCCAGGTTCACCGTCCCAGGTTCCCCGGCAGTTCGATGACATAACTGAATATCCACGATAATTGTTGTTCAGCGTGCTTGACCCAGTGGTTGAGGATCCTTTTCTATTGAAGATGGTCGTAGCAGTTTGATCCTTGGTTGTTTCACCCACCAGTGGCTTCCAGGCCTCAGTCGTACGGATCAAGTGGAATAACCTTCCCTTGTTAATTCTCATTTTGGGTTCCATGGTCCTCAGTTGTTCCCACCTCGTTCATATCGACTGTCAAGGCTAAGCCCTCGGCTTTCATGTTAGGGATGTAGAGTGTCCCATATGGACGTGATGTACTCTACATCAGTTGGTTGTCGTTAGGAGAAAATGCCCACATTGGAATAAGAATATAAACCTCGTAACAGCAACTAGAGAGTGTTTACTAGTGCACTAGTTAACCGGGTATGCCCTCTTTCGTTTTCGGACCCTCGCCTTATGTCTTTTGGTATTAGGTCTGCGCACTTAACCCTGCACTATACTGTGCTGAGCGAACAATGTAGATTACTTCATGTTGTGTCAGCCGTACTCAAACTCGACTTGCTTTCCAAACGGTACAAAAACTGTGGGACGAAAGAGCTCTTGAGAATTTTCCTTGAACTTGTTAAATGCCAGCAGACAACCGAATCCCTTGATTCTGCTTATGGACATTGTTTCAGTTGTCAGTTCCTCGCGACGCTTATATAGCTGCGAACGTTGCTTTTTGTCACTCGGTTCAAGTGTACAATTCCCCTCACCTGATATAGCTTAACTTGTTTTCGGTTTTTCTTGTTCTTTTTCCCTTCTTAATTCAGGCGATTCACAGTTTTGTCCTGCTTCAGGGATGCTAGGCCGAACACACATACGTACTGCCACTATCCCTTCCAAACGGGAACGCTTAAGCGATGATAGTGATGAATCTGCTGGTAAGTTGTTCTTCATGCTTGATGAGCTACTGCGTCGTAATTGTTTCCTATGGCGTCAACCAGACTCTTAATTTTTTTTGCAAATTAAGGTCTTAGCATTGTCAATTCAAAATAATTCAGAAGGACACTAGGCGATGTTCATTAGAAGGTCGGTCCTTTCTGAAGGATCGTTCATATCATATTCGGATGAATATGTCCCTGGGTTGCGTCATCAAGTGAATGTTGCTTTCAAGTATTGTAAAACCTCGATCACTGAACCCACGATACACGATGCACTTATGCGTCATTATAAATTATGTTCCAGAGAGAAAAGTGCTCGCTAAGGGTGGTTCATGCAAATACGTCATCAGTTAACATGAAGAAACTGAAACATACTCAGTGGTTGAAGTGGATATGGGATTTTTCAAGCAAAAATAGTACTATCTAGTACACGTTTCTAACAAATCATTCCTACTTCCACCCAGTTTGCTAGATTTTAACGGGCATATTTACTACATAATCAATTCCAATTCGTGTTCCATATGTTACAGTTTCCGATGAACCGATTACGTCTCGTGCGTCTTTCCGACCCATTCCATACGAGCCGTTCTCCGATGGCGTTCCGCTGAGCACGACAGCTGTTCCACCGATTACCTCAGGATTGCATCTAGCACGCATCCCCGCACAATTGAAGTCTGTCAACGAACTATTTTCGGGTGTTGGCTCTGAACTGAAACCATGTGTCTATCCGTATTTTGCATTGTCTAAGTGCATCTCAGGTACGTACCGTTTTTGCATCTACCTCAAACAAACTTACCGACACTTTCAATTCAAATGCGTTGATATTACTGTCATATCATCATTGCACATAGGTTGTCCCGTTTTGAGGGACCAACCAAAAGTGAGCAACCATAAAAGAGCTCCATGGAAATAGTCGAAAGCAGTGCTATAAACTGAATTTTTGAGGAATGGTAGTGCTATCCTTGTTCCGATATGAGTTATTCATGTTGATGATCAGCCATTCGTGGCCGGATGTTGTAGCGTCCAACTACTAACCGGAAGGCTAGTGGTTCCAATTTCTTCAGATGGAAAAAATCCTTCAGCTGTAGTGCTTTCTCGGTGCCTAGCTGCCATGCCACCCGAAGGAAGCACGAGGGCTGGGTTACTGTCAGGTTGCCCAAGCCTAGACAGGGGAAGTCGAGAGGCAGAGGTCGGGTTCGAACCACGGACCTTCCGGTCAGTAAATTCGCGCTCTAACCACTTGAGCCATCTCGCTCCTCAGATGGGAATGAGCACTGCTATTGATTCGCAATAAGAGCGAAACACCTTCACACTAGTTTCCAGTGTAGATTTATTTTAACTGTGGAGTGAACTATCTATCAAAAGTGGTCCTTTCTGAGATATCCCATCTCTTGAAAGTTTTTTCCCCAGAAATTGGAACTATACTTCAATAATAAATTTATACAGGCCTATACGTTCTCACATTGGCACGTGTTTTGGTTCACGTATGGGACATGTTTTCTCGTGGCTTAAAACTCAGTAAGGCTAACCGAATTTCTCATCGAGTAATTTGTCGACTGAAATATTTTTCTTGTTCAACAGGCTGCTTGATTTTGGTGTAATACTCCTGATTTTATAGATCACAACCTAAATCGTACTGCTCTCCTCGAATCCCGCTTTAACTGCCATCTTTGGAACTTTCCGAGCCGAATAATTTGTGAATACCTCATATCACTTCACAACCGGAGTGTAGCAAAACTGAATGGATTTTGTGATAACATATTATTTGCGATCCTTTATAGGAGATCGTTTCCCATTGAAAAATTCTCTTTCCTTTCGGGAGTTTCTGTCCCAACCAGTCGTTTATGGTGTCTTGCGAGATTCGCTTTTTATATATTTGAATCCAGAAAACTCTAGCAATCGAATTCATCTTACATTTGATTCGGTATTTTCTTCTTTTTTGATTTTCAGATCAGACAATGGCCCGATCTGTGAAAACGTCCAGTAAAACTCGGTCTATTGCTACAAAACTGTTTTCTTCCATGCTGATTGATGTAGGTTTAAATCGGGGCCACGGCTTTCGTCCTTGCTGGGGACAAATCCGCTTCAGAGAGTTACATACTGTAGTTCTCGCAACTGTTACCCCTGCAGTTCGTGGTTCTGGAGCCTTTAATGTGTCCTTCAGCTCTTGGCCTTCCCTGATTGTACAAGATGACGAGGTGAGGCTTATTTACTTCATTTTGTTTTCTGCTTTCCGTTACTGTCACCAGTTGTGTTGAAAAATTTTGTTTGCTTGACGATACCATATTGAAATTGTATGACTGCAGCCCGTGATATTTTTTTCTCATGAAGACCGCTTTTAAATAGCGAATCGCAAACGGCACGGTGCTCAGTAGTCAGTCAGATAACGTAGACAGAAACTTGCGAAAAGACTATAGCCACCTCATGCTGTTTTTGGATTAATACCACTCTGAGACCCATGGGAATTTCAAGCTCATGGGCTAAGTTGCAACTATGAAATAGTATTTATAACAATATAATGCAGTATAATATAATATATAATATTATACATATACATAATATTCCCAGGTCCCACTGTGCGGGTTGTGTGTGCAGGGGGGGGGGGGGGGGGGGGGTAGGTAGCTGCGCATTGAAGGCGGGAGATGATAAATTGGTGCATGAATTCAGCACTGTCAGTGAGCTGTCAAGTGGGGGGATTGGAAAGGGAGCTATGTATTGAAGGCAATAGCTTGGATACACGAGCGCCAGCCGATTTCAGTTTGATACTCAGATCTCTTGAGACCGCGGGACCTTCCTTTGGTCCGTCCAGATTGACTTTTCGGGTGTTCGGTGTGCCGAAATCTAAAGCGGAGTTTTTGTACAACCTTATTATTGTGCATTTACTTGGCACCCAGGCCCCCTCAAACATTCCCCTGTACTTTATACAGTTCATACAATGCAGTACAGATCATATTCCGGCAGTTTACCGCGTTGTTATTATGCACTGTTTTGAAGAGGGTTAATATGTTCCTGAAGGAACCTACTCAAAAGGTTTTGAGTAGCTTACCTCAAGAAAAGATGCCGGATATCGAATCAGCTAAAACACGAGGCGGTTTCTATGCACCACATTCAGTTAAGGAAAATCATGAACGAGAGATACAACTGAGTCCCGTTGAAATGGAAGTGGTGTACCAATGAGGGTATGGCGAATCATCTCAGTCAAATAGACCAGGAAGGGAAAAAAATCCCATTATATTTTCATGCTCAACTAGCATTCCCCTGATTTTCTTCAACCAGACAAATACCTGATCGCTAGATGTCCGTATATAGGAACTCCTCTTGTTTTAGCCGGACAATGCTTATGCATTGCACGGAAATAACATTATGAATTCCTTCATTGTGGCGTGGGCTTTTGTTCGTGGTACATGGGTCTGGCTTTGACTTTGTACTGTGCGTACATAATCTTGGTGGTAGGAATAGATTTGGAATTTTTCATAGGTCTTGTTTCGCAAGGGGAACGAACTTAGGCCGAAAGGCATACATTTCCGTCAGCCAGAGGACCTCTGTGTACTCGGTTGTTAGACGCACTGTTTGATGCACTTTGTCCCTAATGTCATCCACTTGTGGCGAATTTCTCTTGAGGAGGAGTGAGTGGTCCCTATAATGTCCGGGGTTGCTGACATCCATCTGCAGCGATAACATGGACTTGGCGTAACCCGGCTTTCCTGATTCCGTACGTGATGTAAAGACTCAGAAAACCCTAATATTCCTCCTGTTTCTCGCGACCTTGGTTGTCAACCTCCAAGCGACTGCGGCATCCTGAGAAGAACAGCTGTGGTCCAGGCAGACTCCACGAAGGCTGTCTCCATGCTATTGTAGTCGGCCCAACCAAGTCATTCCAGAACATCACAGAAAACATCTCGGCAATGTTCGTTGGCTTGTTCGCTGAGCTGGGCGATTTGGTTGCAAACGTGGTTGTGCACAACCACTAACCCACTGCTACGCACAACTACGCACCGATGATGTCACCTCGATTGGTGATGAAACGTTTGCAACCAAATTGCCCAGCTCAGCGAACAAGCCAACGACCATCTACGCTACCTGAGCTACCGACATTCTCCTCTATAGAAAATCTGGATAATATTTTCTAACAACATACCAACTGATTGATGGGAGTCCGCAAAATGCGTTAATACAGGGAGGCCAGTTCTCTCAAATGTATGTCAGACACTATACCGTTAACCTTTCTCGACAAGTGCTCGGGATGCCGTTTGGACATCTCGATACATCGTTTAGTTCTTCCTGCGGACGGAGAGATCGCCGTGGAGAGTTCGTCCCAACGTGACTGGATATTTTAGTAGACGCTTCACGTGTACTACTCCGTATACTCGCCTTTGGACCCAAGTAAGCTTATTCGTGTTTGTTATCTTTAACAACGGCATTTCGCACTGTATACGACAAGATTTTGGTTCATTATTGTGATAGGCTTCAATGGCAAGACGTTTCATTGCTATGGGTTACTTTTTCGTTATCCGCTGAGAAAACACTAAAGCCTTTTGCTTTTCCATTATAGGATCTCCTCAACACCGCAATGTCTACATCAGAGTGTACGACACTCTCTGGTTCTTCAGAAGATCCGGAACTTCAGCCTCCGGTGGACCACTGCCCGCAATGGCAGCCGGTCTCGGGCCTCAAACCTTTGGAGACGTATGCAAGTACACTACAGTGTACCTTCCCTCAGATGTTTGAATCGTCTGAAGAGTTGAAGAAACCCCGTACTCTCGTCCTCTGCCGTTTGATAAGCCTGTGTATGGCTCTTTGGGGTCGTCATCCGCAAGAGGTCGCTTCACATGCCGTAGTTGGAGGGGGGTTTCAGAAGCCTGATAAGGACGGTACTGGTGAGACGTCTGAATGTGAGCTCACTCCAGAGCAGTTGGTTCCAGACAACTTGGAGTCTGCCACTGAAGATGATGCCGAAAACCAACTCAGTGAAGACAATCCTCCCCAACATCACACTGAGTCTAGATACATTCTCCAGCTTGCTCGAAAACAGGCCTTGTCTGAGTGGATAAGGTAAGCACTTTTCCAGTTGAAAAATACCTTTCCATACATCATTTTCTTAATCTTTCTCGAATGACTTGTTCTTTCCTCTTCCGTGAACTGTAACTTAGCCAATCATTTGTCACCCCTCTTAGCAAGTGGTGAAACGAATACTACCTATTCAGTTTCCTACTCGCTTCACAATCATGATCATCATTATCCCTTACAGCAAAATCAGAGAACAGTGGCGCTCCACTGTCGTTCAGCCTTGTCAGTTTATTTGGATAAAGCCCTATAATAGGGACAGAAAACTGGTCCAGGGAAGGGGATCTAGGGCTATCCTATCATAATCTCAGGTCCTCTTCCGAACGTCACCAAATTCCGTATGCGCCCAGCACTCCCTAGTTTTGGTTACTGAATAGTGTGCGAACCACCATATTAATAGTGTTAAACTGATCATGGGCTACATTTGGCATGCGCCAAAATGAAAAGTAACTGTCCTGGTCAACCATTCTTCAGAAGAACTGTCGTTTTCTCTGGGCCACAAATTGACATCAGTACACGTTGAAGCCTATTTTAACAGCCTAATCTTGCCTTCGGATGCTTGCTAGGAAGGATGTCCGTCAAGCTTGCAGCGAATACTGGTGTGGATCATTTGTTCTAGTTTATGTGATCTACTCACTGGAGAATTTCAGTATCGTTCAAGGGAACACCTGAATGTAGCTGTCAGCTCTGCACTTCCCTCTCATTTGCAATTCACTCACCTGCGATAACTAAGTGATGAAGGACGCGTTTCTTATCCGTCTGAAGTTGAACCGCTTTATCTTGATTCCAGCTAAATGCGATAAGCTTGAAACTCATATCCAATATTTCTATTTTCTTTAGGGCCCAATCCTTCCCATGGCTGAAGAATCTGTTGACCTCCTTGGGGCTGTTTGATAGTGTGAAGGACCTTCATACTGCTTCATCGAATTCACTTGCAAAGAGCGTTTCAATCGACCGCATAGCGCATGGTATTTTCGCTTGTCTGGTCGCTGGGGAACCCGGTGCAGGATGCCGCCTTGCATTATCTGCAGGGATGCCAGAACTTGCGACCCTTGTTGCGCAATCATCTTCCGGTGACCCTGTTGTCCGTCGCTGTTTGCAGCATCAGTTGCTCGCATGGCATCAGACAGAAGTAGGTTTCACCATGACCCTTTATTTACTGTCACACTTCGTAAGTCTTCGTAGGGAACATTTGTGTTCGACTGTCGCAGAACCATGAAAATACATTTACACAACTATGCCACTGTGATGCCCGCTGATTTCGTGTGTAATTCCACACCTTTTTGAGTACCCGCTGATACGTGTCACCAGTACACCACGCTCAGATCCAATCAGTTCTTCCTATCCACCACCACCCATAGACGCTGGCGTGCTCACTTTTTGTTTTGCATTTAGGAATCCTCGCTCCTGTATTTGATTACAATCGAGCAAGCGATTTAGTAATCGCTCAAACTGCCTTTATTAAGTTACCTAATTAGATTCTTAGTCTGTTTTGAATCCACCTAGGTCTCTTGACGTTTATTTTAGTCCTTTATCTGGTAATCTCCGTCACTTTGATCCACAATACTCCCTGCTCTGAACTTGTTCAACTTGTCCTCCGTAAATCTAGACACACCTCTATTTGTCTCAGAATTCTTGCTGTTCCCAGAGAACTAGTTAGAAGGCTCTTCATTGCATGCATCAGACCGCAATGCCCGCTCTCCTGTCTAGTTTTCCTGTTTTCCATCCCTCAAGTGCTTCTCAAACATAGTTGATTTCTCTGCTTCCTCATTGGCCAGCACTTCTCAGCTTCTGACAAGCATTTACCTAGGATCATACCTGACGTTGGTCGCCTCTTAACTACTGCTGTCTCAAAGCCTATCGCAACCTCAATTACAATATTCATATTTATGGCCATTTTTTGTAGGAACTACTACATACCATGTCCGGCCCATCTTCCCATTCTGTTCAGCCCGATCTCTAAGCACTTCCATGTCGTGATCTCAAGCATATCTCTATCAAATGTGTGACGGTTGAAATTTACCCCCTAGGTCCAGCAAGCTATTGTTGACCTGTTGACTTGACTTAACTATATTTTAAGCGCAACAACTGCGATGATTCGACCTTTCCATTGCCTGTATCCATTTCTTCTTCACTGGTACGCCAAAACAGACCGGCATCTCTGAAAGAATGCTTGAGCAATTATGGTATCCGTGACGCGCGCAAACTCTATTCGCCAAACGTCAGTTGGTCACCAGGAACCCTAAGTCATCGATCGCAAAACCTATCCTTGCTGCATATCATTCGCTTGACCCCATACGATAACAGCACTGAGAGCCGCGAAAGCTGCTTACTATGAGATCCGATAATGTCTACAGGACGTGTGAAAGCGTGAGCAGCGCATCGGTTGGAACGATTGCCTGATTTTTGCCTTAGCGCATTCAGGAGGATGAAGTCCGTGTGTCACTGTAATGCATGAACTTTATCGATCTTGTTCAATTATCTGTCTTAGGACGTAACAGCATAACTACAGTGATTGGGTCCATCTCTTATCTCACTCTAATTTTTCGTTAACTCCTTTTCCAAAGTACGACGGCTGCATCCCCTTGGAGGTCCTTCGGATCTATGCTCTTTTAGCCGGCCAACCGCGCATTCCCCATCCGAAAGTTCATGACGCTTTTATCGAGGTGTTGGAACAACTAGACTGGATACGCGTGTTTGGTGCGCACTTATGGTATCTCACCGATTACACTGCTGATCTGGCGGAGGTGCTGCGTATCTACAGCGCATTCTGGCACTCAATCAATTCAACGTGCTCATCTGCGAAATTATCTCGACCCACCCCACCCCACCAACGTGATCTTATTTCGCCACCGAAAGCGCCATCCCTTCCGACGGATTTTCCGACAGTTCCGGGTAAAGATGGTAAGCTACAGTTGCTGTTCATCGGTATCATCGTGCACTTGAATCACTGCCTTGTTATCTGCCGCAACAATATACTTATATGATTGTTCACAGATGTCTCTTTAGATTGGAACAGGAGAAAAAGAATGAACACAGAACTTCTTGTTGTTTTTACTGCAAGTGTTTGAAATTTTTGGCATTATGTGTACGTTGGGCAACCAACACGCTTCTGAACATAGACCATACATTGATGTCGGCACTGCGCCATATCCCTCAGGCTCGTCCATCACATCGCCTCAGGGTCCTTCAGGCCTCAATCAGGAGGCCTAGACGACTCTGCTTTCCACAAGTTAGCAGTCGAATTTTTTCTCCGTTGTATCATTCGTTACTAACCCCTCTGATTCTTCCAGTCGGACCAATCACATCGAACAGTGGATGGTGCGGTAGGCGTGGCGACACGCGGAATATGACCTAGCGAATCTAATCGGTGTATTGAGATGGGGATTTCTAGATGTTTACTGAACGAGCCAAGCACCCGACTAGTTTTCCAGCCACTAGAAGTGAGCACACAAACAACGACCGGTCGAATACTGGCGGTCATCAGCGAATCGACCAATTTTCGCAACCATTTAGTAGGACAATGCATAGGAAAGTTTTGAAAATTCGCGTAACAGAGCGTTCAGTCGCTGTTACGATCTAGAAGAATCCAAACAGCTTCGGTCGTGTTAGGGGGATGGTGGAACTGCGATTAGACGAATGGCTCATATCTTGCGATTGACGTGTACAGCTGCACGTCATATTGGGGGCAGTCATGACGTGGAGGCCGTAAAGTAGGTAAAGTCTTGTATCATATGAGTGTATATGTAATAATAATTGAGTAATTGAAAAGCTGGATAACAAAGTTTGAAATACCATTTTTCCCAGATATCGTCGGTTTCCGCAATTGGCCTCGCGATAGTGCTTACCATTTGATTCAGTTGTTTTGCCACACGACCCACTCATTAGAACGTACACTGGATCCGTGCTCCATCAGTCGATTCGAACCGTCTGCGGCTGATGAACCAACATGTCGTTCTAGTCCAGACAGTCTGCTTGACTGGAGTGCTTCGTGGCATCTCTGGCGTACGCTTCACGCCTTGGGCTATCGACATTTTTCTTCTCCCTCTTCCGTGTCCCGCATATGCGGGGAATTTGCTTCACAATTGGAAGATGCTGGATTGTGGGAATGGGCCATCTTTGTGCTGCTCCACTTGCCTGACCAAACCATGCGAGATGCATGCGTGAAGGCCGTTGTTGCTAGGCATGCTTCACTTGTCATCCCGATTGAACAAACTGGTGTGGCAGAGGAGGACTCTCGTGAATATGGACGTTTTTTGGGGTCCGTGAGTCGTCTTCTGAATTCGTTCAAACTGGCCCCACCGCCGAGCTTGACTCGCGCAGAACAATTTGTTGTCAAGTTGGGCGTACCTAGTCGATGGATTTACGAAGCCAAAGTAGGTTTACTTTTTATGTTCATTTGTGCTCTTCTGGTTCCCCATTTGGTTAAAATCTGTATTTTGAGCCGAGATAGCTCACTGGTTAAGGTGCGGATTTACTGTCCGGGAGGTCCTTGGTTCAACCCAACCTCTGCATCTCGACTGCTCCTGTAGACAGGCAAATGGACGATATTCCCGCCCTCTTGACTCCTTGGGGTGGTGCGGCACCGAAGGAGTGCTACATGTGAACGATTATTCTTATTTATTAGTAGTAGTACGTCCTATTAATATCTGTTCGTCGTGCAGCCTTCGGATAGATGGGGTCCCCACGCAACCGTAAAGATACCTTTGTATATCATTTCTAAATCCTCTACAGTTGCCTTCCGTTTCTGTTAGCATTAGTATGTTTTTCCCAACTCAGCTCTGCATCGGAAGTGAGTTCCCAGTGGTGAGAGCTCATATTCTCATGGACTTTTTGGGTCCATACTATATCAGTATCATTTTCAGTCGCTACTGTGGGCTTGTTAGAAGATTCCTGACGGGACTTGAATACTCTAAGCTACTGAATCCTGGTTATCCGAAAACTCTCCTCATATTGTGTAGATGTAAGTCAGAATTCCAGTGGCATCTGCACTTGGTTGTAGCTGTTAAGGAAAAAGTCATGCAGATAGAGGGTGAATTTTGCAAAGGGAGCAAGAATTACCAGTTCGTGATCTCTCCTAGGTTAGAACTCTTCATCAGATTGCCCGATGGTTAATCAATTCAGTATAGAAATTTAGGGGCGTGTAATTTGATCGCACATGTAGTATAGGTAGATGATTAGCTTACGCCTTCGTAAGTGGAGTTTCGTGTACCCGCCTTTACCTGTTTTATGTGATTTATTATACCACGCCCCTTGATTGAGTCGTCGGTGTTTTGTTCAAACCAGTACCAAATCTGACAGACTGTGACCAGCCATCCACACTTCGATACCAGTGTTGTGCGCGACTTGCTTGCACCTCCTTACAGGAGTCTCCGAATACTGACGATTAGCCTTTATTTTGATTTGACAGTTTCATGTGACAAAACATGTAAAACGTTATCCGCCGATAGACAGGTGTCGTGGCACAATTTGACTTCTTTCCGGTATAACTAAATTTGGACAACAGTGCTTTTCGGCCATCTAACGACAATTTGTTTGAAGGCTTGATTGTGAACAAGTAAAAGGTAGGCTAATGTTAGCTTGCTGAAAACCCTACCCCCAAGCAATTCAGACAATCCGGGTAAGAAACTGACGACAAGAGCTCTGTTGACATCACTGACATCATGTGTTGTGTTGTCTGCAGTCAAGCATAGGGGGATCACACCAACCGCACTGTACAATGCGGATGACCTCAAAGGCTTCCAGACTTTTCTTTTTATTTCTATTGCGTATTGCCGTGGTTTTGAATAACCTATTGAGTTTTGTGATGATCGAATGTATGCCTGCCATTGGACTATCATAGGAATGATGTGGATTTTTCCTCACCTTCCAGGCCATTCTAGCTCGTCAACGCTTTAACGAATGCAATCGTGGGTTCACTCCGGACCAGCTGGTCTTAAACAGCCGTAACGCGGCGGACTATGCTGGTCTACGTTTACGCGCTCGGTTGTTCGCTCTTTTGGAAACCGCTCACTGGTTCGCTTCCGGTTATTACGGGGAGGCTCAAAAGGTTTGCGTGGAATATCTCTTACCCGATATTGTGCTGCACACCAATCTCTCCATCGCATGTGGCTGTGTGGGTCCATCGGTCGGCACTGGCTTATTTCTTTCGGTCACAAGATTGGGACATCAGTTGAACAGGCTGCTTAGCCCTTATCGTACCCTTTCAACTGGACATTTACCTTGTCGTTTCGAGGAAGGTGAGAATCAATTTTCTACTTGTTGTTTATCTCAGCATTACTCACAGTGTGCGCCCATAGTATTCTTTGGGTGTTCCGAGATTACTTGGCTTCTACTAGAATTGCTTCATAACAGTTAGCGGCAATTTATGATTGTTTTGATGTATTATGGCGTTAGGTAGGACCACTGCTGTACCTCCGTCTGGTTGGCCGGTGTTATGTGTGATGGGGAGCTCACCAGCCATTGGTCTGCGCTCGGTAGCCGTGATCCCAATCACGTCTGTACATGTGACGATCTGTTAGTCGAACAACTGGGCCGAGGAAGATGCCGTCTGCAAGGGGACCGGATAAAAAGCGACCCTCCCAACTCCAGCTGGTAGGGTACCAGTGATAAGTATTCACTTCTGACCTCTCTTGATGTAGCCGGATCCTTTCATGGACTGTAGGCAGACACAGTACCTGGTTGATTGGCAAGTCCATGTAGATGTGTGTTCGACGCCTGTGCTCGTCTGCTATATCAACCCCCTGCGGGGTTCAATTGCGCTGCTGTTTTTTTACCGTTTTTAATGTTTATTATCGTTTTGATGTTCGTTAGCTAGACAATTGTCACTTACAGGAAGACGAAATGAATAGTTCTTCGTCATGGATGTTCACTGTTTTCATTGAATATTAAAGCAAGGTGCTTTACCGATCACGAAGATTACATCGATGTCGCATACGGTTTGAATTTTATCATTTTTCCTAGCTGTCGTGGGCTAGAATACCTTCATGTCCCATTTAGACGGTATTTTTTTACTATTGAAGACCAATCGCCTCTACGTAGCCGGATCCTTTCATGGACTGTAGGCAGACACAGTACCTGGTTGATTGGCAAGTCCATGTAGATGTGTGTTCGACGCCTGTGCTCGTCTGCTATATCAACCCCCTGCGGGGTTCAATTGCGCTGCTGTTTTTTTACCGTTTTTAATGTTTATTATCGTTTTGATGTTCGTTAGCTAGACAATTGTCACTTACAGGAAGACGAAATGAATAGTTCTTCGTCATGGATGTTCACTGTTTTCATTGAATATTAAAGCAAGGTGCTTTACCGATCACGAAGATTACATCGATGTCGCATACGGTTTGAATTTTATCATTTTTCCTAGCTGTCGTGGGCTAGAATACCTTCATGTCCCATTTAGACGGTATTTTTTTACTATTGAAGACCAAATCGCCTCTACACACTACAAAGTATTGCCAGTAACCCGTCTGTTTCAAGTCACTTGTCATTTCAGCATACTTGGTAGTAATCGGTAGTGACAAAGTAGCTATCAAGAACTTTTCACCCATCAAGTGATTCATCTCCTCTACCGTCAGTAGGTTTTTCCGTAGTGTCTTCGCCGTGTAGACAAAACTCAATGTCCGAGGTTACCGGACTGACGCTAGTCGGGTCCACCTCGAAAGTACCAGATCTCTCTCTCCGCCAATCAATTTTCTCTCAGATCTCCAGATTTTTGTGGAATTGGTGAAATGAAAGCGTGCCTCATTTATACTTCCGTCATATATCTCCTCCTCAGGTGTTGGAGTCTACCTTCGATACAGCGATATTCTGTGTCTGGCAGATGAACTGGCTGCTCTTTATCAAAGTCGCTCTAACACGCAGCCTCCAGATGCTGACCAGTCTGACGAGAACAATGAGACTGACGAAAGCGAGTCACGGGCACGCCTCGCACTCGTCCTGAGTAACCTGAATACGCAGTTAGACACTTTTATGGGACAATTACATCTTATGGATACCCCAAACCTGAATTCCAGGTAGTTCACAAGTATTCTTTGAAAGTAGCCTTACTATTACGGAGTTACGTCCTTGAACTTAACTACCACATTAAACACCTCAACGTAAGACAACCTGTTGTTTCCATGCTTTGTACTTCCTGTTACCCTAAGCACGCGTTGTTTCATGAGTTTTCACGGTATTCTGCAGGCTGCTTTCATTCCTCGTCATTCCGTTATTTACCCATTCATCTTTTACGTGCTATTCACCAGAATCAGTGCACAAGAAAAATAGTCCTCAAATAATGTTAAAGTGACTGATTTTTAAAATAAATCCAGCCTCGAAAGACCACTCACCTCAAACGGATCGTATCCTTGATTGTGTTCAGTTGTCACGGTGATTTCAATGTTCAAATCAAGTGTTAGAAGCTTACCTCCATAGTGAGTCGCGGCAGTAGCAGTGAAGGCCTCTAAACAGGTCCCATTCAGAGATGTTCGTTGAATGCAGTGAAACTCATCAACTGTTCAGCTCAAGGTTTTGTTATGTAACGTGAGAAGATAGTCACCTACTTCACTACTACTGAACTGGCTCCAGCGTTATTTGGTAGGTATTTTTCGCTTGTATACCGAGTAATTAACGTTCAACATTTCGAGTATTTGCATCACCTCATATCTGGACCAATACTTGAGCCCCCCGATGGGCCACTGGCAAGGAAAAACATTGGCAGAAGGTGTCATTGATCTTCTCCTCGACTAACGCACAGTCCGATTAACTGGGCACATTGAACAACTCGTCATTTCTTCAACAAATACCCCTAGTTTTGTGATTTCGCATATTTCTGTTTACTGTATCATTCTGGTGTGTGATGCCGTCGCAAACAGACTGAATCTTATGGTGTTGTGTCGGTTTGGTATACCTCATTGACCGATTGAGTCGTACTGAATGGTGCTCATTCAACATCCACAACGTCCACCCTACGGGGTGTCAGTCCCATCCTCTAGGTTTGGGATTGGGACAAGGTAGCAATTTGTTTTTTTTAAGATTTTGAGTATTCCAGTAGTATTACGCCGACCTCTTCTGCCTTGAGCATTCGACGCCCCAATAGTATCTCAATTCGAATACGACTATGAACTTGACAAATAAACATTCCTTCATGCCATATCGGCCACCGCGTTGTGATACCAGCTGGATCGACTTAACCACTGTATACAGCAGGGCGGATGAACAAAAACATGTCGTTTTCCCTCATTTTATCTCCTAACTGCCATCCTGTCCAGCTGGCTAATCACTGTTCTGATCCTAGCTCTGGATACGTCAATCAGGGACTTGGGGAATCGATCTTCGTCTGGGGAGATTTTATAATTTTTAGTTGAGATTTCATCCTGTCGATGAGGCTTAAAAGCTGTTTCATCCTTGTTGGGAATCATCAACAGTGGGCATCTCACGAAGCTCAGAGAAAGCGAGACTCTGTACCGAAAACTAACCACCCCCTAGTTCACCACAAAGAGTTCTGACATGGCCGTGATAGCGGATTTCATCACACAGGTGGAGCGCCTCAGCTCATCAGAAACACACTTTTTTCTTATCTTTATTCGAAGCACAAAACGCATGGATGATGCTAGCGTCTTTTCAAATTTTACACTGATCACCAGTTGTTTCCCAGTACTACTGATGGCTGTTGTGCTGCTGACCAGTCAAATTAAACATTGCTGTCAGCTACCAACTACGTGATTTAACCCTTGACTGCCGATTGTTGTGCAATGCCCACGTCAACTCAGGTTACGTTATCGTACAGCGAACAAACTTCGCCCCTTTTACTACCATACCTTCCTCTTCTTCCCACTCCCCACTGAGACTTTTCCTCACGGTTGTCTGGCAGTTAAGCGCTGGTGTGTATTACTAGTGTACAACTATCAATGATGAGGGTGCTACTCGGAATACCATCCCAGTCTCTCATTTTTCATCCAAGTGACATAAACCGAACTTTCAAACTCCTCCTCGTGTGTTTTGAGTGGACTGGTTAACAAGCAGGAGAAGTGATGGCGTAATAAGTCTACCTACTTTGTCTTATTCGACCTTAAGTGGTAGACAACCTTCGCTGCCGTCCGATTGCGTACGACTACCCAGGCCTAATTTGCTTCGCCACTGAATTCTCCTGGTTTCGGTTACCGGGTTTTCCGCCTGTGTTCATTTCTGCTTCATATATTCAATGCATATTTTTCTCACCTTTCGTCATGTTATTTTGTATGATATTGTGTTGTGTCACATTGTATTGTATTTTGCGTTGCACTGTATTATATTGTAAACACATTCGATTGCATTCTTACTATTTTATGCATTACATTTGAATACCATATGTATATATATATATATATATATACTTGTGTATACCTACGCAAGTGATCCGCCTCATTACTATGGACATTCCAGAAATGAATGACCGTTTGGGTTGACCGCCTCTGACCATCGCTGCAGACACCAGTCCGCAAAATGCCTAGCTAGTGCCCATATGCTGACGATGCGTTTCATGAGTGATCTGGTCCACCAGACCACCTTTTGCTTTTACCGTGAGCATCAGTTATTCAGTGGTTTCCACTTGTCTTGGCGACAAGCAGACGACCGACTGGGTGTGCTGATGGCTTTAGAACTCCCTCCGACAAAACGTTCAGCTGTCGTTGTGTGCGGGTGTTCATCGGCTGCTTTTGATGTTAAAAAAACTGGAAATGGATACAAACCCACCATGTATTCGACTATTGGGCGTTCGAGATTTTTTCGTCGGGAAGACAAAGATTGCCAAATTTTAACATAGTGTTCTTTATCTCCTCAGTCGCTTCCCAGTGGGATTAATTTTCTTCTTTGCACCGTCTATGAAATCTGTGAATGTTTGCACCAATCAAAACTTTGCTCTATTCGCTGTTCCAGGGTTGTCAAAACCGAAATAGCAGTTACTTGTGCCAAGATGATCTCCGCGTTTCTATCAGGATTGGATCCGCAGTCGGATATGCTTGTTCATCTCCGGCGTCATTTGATGTCGTTGGTGAAAATCAATTTGCCAGCGGACTATCGGCTACAAGAGCTGAGCACGCTCAGTGAGGCTGAACTGTCCCTTGGTGCTTTTTAACGTGAATACTAACCCAGATGGAATGTCCTCCCACTGTTATTACTGTATGATATGTTCGTATTCATCATCCTTTTGTGGACTTGTTTGATCCATTTTTTACTGCCGAAAATGTGTTTTCTTCGTCTCCGGGTTTAGTCGAGTCCTACTCGTTGTTCTGTTCGGCGGCGTACAGTGCTGCGGACTGTGCTTTTTAGCCTGTTTGTAATTTTACTAATAAAACAGAAACAGTTTATCAATGAAGGTCTGAAAAGCCCTCAGCTAAGGAATCACTTAACACCAGCACTTTTGGAGTATCCGGCTACATGGTAAACACGATATGCCAGTGCATTAGGGACTAGTAACCGCATCAATACCAGCTTATTAGTTGGACGTTAAACTCCTGTACCGTCTGAAATAGTGAGCTACATGCTTGTGGTGAATACCAACAAGGCTGGGACTGCAATAAAACGTTCTCTAGTGGTTTATATTCATTATTGAGCAGTCCACATCACTACTCTAAGCAGTTATTTGCCTGATGCTATTATCTTGGTTGATACAAGCCAAGCCTGGTGTGCCACAGTGGATTTGCGTCCTTATTGAAACCATTCAGATTTAGTGTCTTGATCCATCGTCTATGACTTAGCACAACTTGGCCCAGCTGCTGCTACCACGACACTGCGTTGAAATGCACTACGCTGGCTCAGGTCCATGAATGTCTATATCGATGTGACTCTTGAAGCAAGGCGATTGTCCGAGGACTAGTCAGGCGCTACACAAACCAACAGGTTCTTCGACACTGTGTTGCAATGTGAACGTTGATGGAGTACAATTGAGAATGATCCGCACACCAATAAAACAAGTTCTAATCGATAGTGCGGAACAAATGAATGGCTCCTTTTCAGGAATTAAGGATGCCCTTCCAGAAGGGACATCAAAACTATTCGCATATGTAACAAGTACATTTGTGTATAACGTTTCTGAATGGTGATGATTACTTTTGTGCGTGTCCGACATAACCTAGTTCCAACGCTGTAAAGTATTTTCTGTCAAATTCCTCCGCTTAGCTGAACCAATAGTTCTGTAGCTCAATTTGTAGGATGTGGACTGTATTGACTACGACCTTTACAATACAGATCTGTGTAGCAGGCGCCTAGGTAGTGTTCGTCTCCAAATGACCCCTTGCCTACTTTCTACTTATGTTCCATTTCCTAAGTCGATTTCCTTGGATTGCTGGACAAGTTGTGGAGGTTTTAGTGAACAGCCAATCCAAACTTCATATTCCATTGTTCTCTTTAGCTGGGGGTTACACTATTTTGTATTCGTGTGGAAGTAAATTGGGAGAGTTTAGACTAATTTTACTGGGACTGCATTAAGCACATAATCAGATCTGAGTAAAGCCTGAAATACTGTGCGGGACGAAA